GGTTAGCTATTGATTAGTATTTTTATTATTCAAAAAGTAAGTCCTTTGTCTATTATATACCAAGGAAAGAGATAAATTGTAAGAAGAAGCAAAGGTAGCAGTATTAGCGAGAAAAGTAGACATATTTATGACACCAGTAAGAGAACAAAATGAAAAAGCTTTAGACCCCAATTTTTTTCCCCTCTAATCAAGCCACAAGAAGCTGTAGCATGTTGTTCCATTAAGCCCTTTGGATTTTCCTGCACAAGGTGTTAGATTCTGTGGCTGAAAATATTAAATTGAGGAATTATCTGGTTATTTCTATGGACAAATACATTCCAGATTACAAACAAGCCAAACTAGAAAAAAAAAATGTTTGAAATGAGACTCCTCAGGACAGCTAATAGAGGATATTCCGGTTAGATAAAAGCACAGAATGTAAGTGCCATTTAGATGGTCATGGTCTTGTTGCCATCATACTAGATGTTTTCCTGCAGCTTTTTATAAAAAGAGAAATCAATATGAATTTTAAGTGTTAATTTAATTTCAAGAAGGGATAGAAGTAATGATTTCAATAAAATTTTGTAAAATGAAATACTTCATTATATTTGCCTTTTTCCACATGAAATAATAAAAACCTTAAACTTTTATTCACATGAGAATTCTTAAAGTATATAATTATTTCTCATTAAGATGAAAATAAAGAAATATTTCCAACTTTAAAGACATGAGAAAAGAAGGGAAATTAAGGTGATTATCAACCATTGCCCAAATGAAATGAAGCCATGTTGAAATTTTAAATAAAGGCTTTCTATTTTCCATAGACATAAGATACCCCATAGGACATAGTATACAACTAGATTACCTGTTATTTACAGTCTCTGTTGAGCAAATCGAGAAAGTCCCCAGGCTGTTAGTTCAGGTTGCTTTAGATTTAACAACAAATAAGAGTTTCAAATTTCAAGATGCTAAAGAAAGTGTGGGTGATATAATAAACTGCTGCCGGGACCGGTTTGGCTCAGTGGATAGAGCGTCGGCCTGAGGACTGAAAGGTCCAGGGTTCGATTCTGGTCAAGGGCACGTACCTTGGTTGTGGCACATCCCCAGTGGGGGGTGTGCAAGAGGCAGCTCATCGATGTTTCTAACTCTCTGTCCCTCTCAATTCCTCTCTGTGTAAAATCAATAAAATATATTTAAAAGAAAAAAAAATTTAAAAATAAATAAAAATAAAAAAAATAAACTGCTGATTACAAGACAGGAAAAATAGAAGGTGTGTTCTGATTAATAACTATTTCCAATCTTTGGATTTAATTTTTATCATGAAATGCTAGTATTTTATAATATTTTACCTAAAGTTTGTGTGATTCCAAAATAATGATCAAGACCCAAAAAGATAGAATCAGATAAGTATGTAAAAGAAAGCAAACCAAAGGGTAACAAAATATAAAACTACAGGCGTGGGGTGAGGTGGAAGGGGACGTCAGGGGCGAGGGATTGAGAAAAAAGAAAAAAGGTTGGTGTAAAAGATCTCACGGACATGTGTGGTGATTTCTGGGGGAGGTGGAGGAGGTTACAGGGGGGATAAAAGGTGATAGATGAAAACTTGACTTGGGAGGGTGAACATACAGTGTACAGATGATGTGTTGTAGAATTATGCACTTGAAACCTGTGTAATTTTGTTAATCAGTATCACCCCAATAAATTCAATAAAAAGAAAGAAAATTAAAAATAAATAAATAAATACAAATACAGTCAGTCCATGTGAAAGGCACTTTAGGAACAAGATAATTAAATGTTGAGATTTCCTTCCAGAATATATACACAGTTACAATGAAGAACAGAATTGGGATTTACAGGCAATGTGTTCTCAGTTTTTTTCTCAATGCCGTATTAGCTAACTACAGGCCAAGGATCCTCTCTCCCTCTCCACACACATAGACACACACAAAGCAACTCTTGGAAACAGGGCACTGTTGCCAGCATCCCGTAACACGATGGCAGATTTCCCAAGAATTGTACTTAGGGTTAAAGGGAACCTAGGGTGGAGACTATCTTAAAAAGAAAATCCACAAAGAGATATCTGACCCTAAACTCATCTAGGAGATGAGAGAAAAGAAACAAAGACCTAGTTATACAGACAACATGGAAACAAACACATGCAGGACATTGATAAGCGTTTTTCTTAAAGGGAGGAAATAGCAGGAAGGGCTGAAAGTCTCCACACAGACCAATCTGTTTGGTGACAATGTGTTTCTTTTTTTTTCTTCTGGTCTCTTCTATAAGGCAGTATACAAAGTGCTCATTTATGTTTTCTTTGTTTTTATCCCAAAGATAGAAGATCAAAGAGTTAATAAAACCTCCTTGCTATAGGAAGTTATTCCAAAACTAAATGCAGCAATTCAAAGTGAAAAATAGAATGAATGCCAAGGAGATGCTAAGCGAAGTAGCATTCTAGATCTATTCTTTGAAGAACATTTGCAGTCTCTTTGATTGCTTTAGAATGCACAGGGCAAAATGTGTCCTCCATGGGGCAGAGCTGGCTGGTGGCTAGGCTCTCTGAACCCACAGCCAGGCCACTTGGAATCACAAGTGTATTTGATAGAGAATCACTTAGTATGGGGAAATACTCAAGAGTATTTTATGATAGATAGCAAAATAGTATTAAAAACTTCCATTCCTCCCTCCCCCACCCCTTAGATCTAATTAAATGTCAAAACCTAAGACATCACAGTGTACACACTTGAAAAATAATTTGAAGCACCATTTTCCCCAAAACTGAGAAAGTTGGATGACAAGGTAAGGGATTAGCTTGATGTTCCCCATTAGCTACTGAGATCTTTCTTTTTCCCTTCTTTTTTTTTTTTTTTTTTTTTTTTTTTTTTTTTTTTTTTTTTTTTTTTTTTTTTTTTCTTTAGTGCTGACATCTTGAAATTAGAATATAGAGAGGTAGCCTGGGAAATTGTTGATATTGCTGTATTGATTTATTCGAGACAGGCTGGCACAGGTGCCTTGCATCTCAACATGACACGTCAGAATTTGCCATTAGGTTTCTTCCTGGAAAAGAAGCAACAGAACAATCTAGAATTTCCATAGTGACCATCCTGCTGATAGAGCCATGGCGAGGTGGCAACACAAAGGCCAAGGATAGAGGTTATTTAGAGCACATGTGTCAAACACAAGGCCCACGGGCCAAATCCGTCCCGCCAGGCCTTGCAATGTGGCCCGCACCGCGCTGTCATCACTGCACTCGCTGCGTTTCCATCACAATGACAGTTTATGACTGTTCAGTAAACCATTCGGCCCACGATTTAGGCTGGATTTTAGATTTTGGCCCCTTCTCTGATTGAGTTCGACACCCCTAATTTAGAGCCTCTGACTGAGGTTTAATCAAGCAATTCTTTTTCCTATTTGAAAACTTGGGAGATACAGATTGTTTTCATTCTGAGGTAAAGGGAATTCTTTCCGAGGGTAATTCAGGGAATAGATTAAAAAAACTGACATAGCTTGGTGTTCAGAGAATGATTCCACTAAAAGGAGGATTATCATTAACATAAGAATGTAAAGATATCTGAGATTAACTTTAAGCAATTAAACTTTTTAATTATTTGACCTGTTTCACTATAAAATGAAATGGTTTTGAAGTACCCCTGAATGTTGTGTTGATGCCAATAGTCTTTCCTTTTTGCATCAGTGGTGCATGTCACCTTCCTGCAAGGCACCCAGTTTGCAGATCTGGCCAGAGGGAAAATTACTAGGCAACAAAATGAAAAGGAGGCACAAGTCAGCTCAGCTCTCTGAACCCTCGGAAAGGCAACTTCCCTCTCGCTCATGAAAGGGGATGATTGTGCTCAGTACCACTTATCCGGTGCCAACAATTTGGTAAGCCCTCTATTCAGCGCTACACCAGGCCTACAACAAGGTGACCCAGAGTTAGGGGCCGAGGTCAGGGAAAGGTCACTGCCTGAAAAATGGAACCAGTCAAAAGGAAAGAATCCTAGGAATGGGTGAGATTAGTAACTCACAAAAGTAGCCCAACCCAAGAAATGACACAGAAAGCATTTTTTTTTTTTTTTTTTTTTTTTTTATGGAATCCAACGTTCTAACTCGTGTTTTAAATCCTGCTGGCCCTTGCATGTAGATGCTAGGATGCTCTGAAGTGTGATCCTAGGGATCAGCATTTGTCACTTAAATTCCTATGAACTTGTGCCACTCCTTAATCTCAGCTTTTCAGATTCTTCAATTCCCTCTTCTCTTTCTTTTCCCTTCTTTCAACCATCACCCCAACCTCAAAACTGAGGGCCAGACACTAGGTATGAAGATACCATCGCCCTGTTATCTGAAACCCTCTGAAGGAGGGTCAGCCTTCCCTTCCCCAACATCTTCCTGGTGCCTCTCTGTAAAGGCAGAGTGTCAGATAGATGCCTCCAGGGTAACCTTTGTTGGTCATACTATGACATGCATACTCACTTAAAATAAGCCCTGCCTGACCTGCCTGGCCTGCCTGGCTCAGTGGTTGAGTGTCAACCTATGAACCAGGAGATCATGGTTCGATTCCCGGTCATGGCACATGCCTGGATTGCAGGCTCAGTCCTTAGTGGGAGGCATGTAGGAGGCCGCTGATCAATGATTCTCCCATCATTGATGTTTCTATCTCTCCCTCTGCCCTCCTCTCTGAAATTAATGAAATTATATTTTTTTTAAAAAAGAAAACCTTTCAAGGTTAAAGGAACCTTAATATTTACAATATTTATTTGCCCTTTCATAATTTTCCTTATCTCATTTGATGCATTTAAGTGCTTACAGGGTGCTTGTTATGAGGAAAGGCGACCGAATGAAGGGTCATGAGCTCAGAGCTACTTATTTTCAGCTTCAAATGAACAAACAGGAAAAGCAACAGTGACATTTCTCCCCTGGATGGCAAAATAAAACATTTCAAAATTAATCCACAAATAAAACTGTATCATTCTAAAGATGTGAAAAAATTAAGTGCACTTTGAAAGGATTTTTATTTTATATAGATTGCTAGATGCTGATATGCACAACTAAAATGGCTACTATTCATCTGGTTTCTTTTACTAGGAAACCCCAATATCATAGAGTTAGAAAGCATTCTATTACTTCTCTTCAATGTGCAGAAGGATGGAGAGAGAGATTTCAGGTTCTTTTTGTTTTATACTTGTCAAAAATTCATATAAGAAAGTCCATTTTATACAAAATAATTTCATAAAATTACTTTTAAGAGAGTCAATTTCCATATATCAATTTTACTAGGTCATATAATATGTTTTAATAATAGCTCCTTAGTTTTATTAGTGCATTATAAATTATTTATCTTAAAAAATACATTAAAAACAGAATTAGAATGTTTTTGGTTTATGTAGCTCACAGAATTAAGTTAAAATAGTATAATATATGTTGTACAGAAAGAAATGTAAATGTTGTCTATAAGAACATTTTTTGAGTCAGTTTCACATTAAACATTGAATAGAAAAGTTGACTTATCTTAAAATAAAGCAAGTCACTACATCACTCAGCTATAAGCAAACATTTTGTTTGTAAATAAGGATGAAGTGACAGTGTTTGAAAGTGTAGTTCATCAAAATCATAACAAGAAACAAAATATTATGAATGTGTAAAATTTCATGTTTATTTAATATCCATTACATACAGTTTATTGAAACCAGACTTTGTAAAGACAAATAGCATTTCTGATGAACATAAACAATATCATATAGTTGAAATTTATATTTTGTATTTTCCCATGAATAAAGATGTCATTATGGAAGAGTTTCAACAATAAAGATTTGTGTAAATTGGCATGACATCTCTCAGTGCTTCAGGGTAGTACCAGCCTCATTGATTTGAGGGGATAGATTATTAGCAGCTTTGCATCAAGAAACTCAGCTGTCATGGAACCTTCCCCCAGTGGGATCCAATGTGTTCTGTGTCATGCACACGTTCTCAGCACACATTCAGAGCTCCAGATGTGTATTCCTGGGACAAAACAAACAAGCAAAAACAGAAGGCAACATGTAAAAGGGCTCACTCTAGTCAAAGAGAAGTATAAATATTATACTTAAAATAGCAATGATTATTTCCTAGAATTGTTCATATCTATTACAGTTTACTATGTGCCAGGCACTATGTTAAGCATTTGACACTCACCTGTATAAAATGGTCACAAGAGTACTTTAAAATAAGCATTGCAATCATATCTATATATATAAAAGGCTAATATGCTAAGTGTCCAACCATCTGACCAGTCACTATGACACACACTGACCACCAGGGGGCAGACACTCAACGCAGGAGCTGCAGAGCTGCAGTGACATGGCAGTGGTGGTTCTCAGGTGATGCACCCCAGAACCAGAGAGGTGGGAGCCTGATTCCTCACAGGGCTTCATAATTCCACCTTCGACCATGGATTATGTTGTTGCTGGGGCACTGTCAGCCCTGAATCTGGTTTGCTGCACACTTGTGTTTGCGTTCCACACCCTGTACGACAGCAACTTTGCAGAGTGCCCTCTCACACTCCAGGATACCTCAGGGGATGTCAGAGAGCTGGTTTCAGCCTGATCCCTGCAGGCCAGGCCGAGGAACCCTACCTGCCAGAGGGACCTTGCTCACTCCACAAACACCTCTCTGGGGTGTGTCTGGCCCATCTCGCCCAGTCCTGTCCTGCCAGCCACCTTCTAATTAATTTCCTTTCAATGTGCATGAATCCATGCACCAGGCCATTAGTTTGTATTATAAACATGGATGCTAAGCTTGACAGAGGGCAAGAAACTTGAATGCAGTTTCACAGTAAGCAGTAGAACCAGAATGCCCTGTGGCATCAAACACAGTCCAGGAAGACCAGCAGCTTCCCGTGCCTGACCCTGTGGATGAGCTGACAGTGTCTACAGAGCCACTTACTGCCCTTTCTACCTGGTTTCCTTTACCATGAGACTGAAAAAATAAATTTTTGACATTCTAAAAAGGCCTCTTTCTTCCTCACTGATAAATATTTTGTTTTCAATTTTTTACATTCCAAACCATAACATGGTTCTCCTTGCTCCTAGGAATGGCCATGTGATAGAGTCTGACCAAGGAGATGTGAGGTGAAACTGCTAGCTGAGGCTTCACTGAACGCTCTTTGAAAGAGACAGACTGTTATACAGTAGATCTCTGGTTAAGAGGATAAATCTCATTTTAAGTGTTCTAGCTACAAACAGCCAAAGGAGGAAAAAAAAAAAGAGACAGATTTCTGATCTTTTCACACCCCAAGCCTTCTTTATTCTGGATTATTCATCCTCAGATATGTTGACACATATGGAAAAATATCTTTTCTGCTAAATCCTGTAATCTGGTACTCAGGGCTGACTGTTTCTAGTACCTAAAACAGCTTTACAGGCATGCCTCGTTTTATTGCTCTTCACTTTATTGCATTTCACAGATATTGCTATTTTTATACATTAAAGATTTATGGCAACTCTGTGTTGAGCAAAATCTATTGGCACCATTTTTTTTCCAAAGGCTCAGAGGATGGTTAGCATTTTTTAGCAATAAAATATTTTTATTAATGTACATACATTGATTTTAGACAAGTTATTAGACACTTAGTAGACTATAGTATAGCATAAACATAACTTTTACATGCACTGAAAACCCAAAAAATTCCCCTGACTTGTTTTATTGTGATATTTGCTTTATTATTGTTACCAGAAACCAAACCCACATTGTCTCTGAGGTATGCTTGTATAAAGTTTTGTGACTTACTGGGAAGGGGAGCATTAAATACTAACATTTTTTTAAAATAAAAAGATAAATGACTGAGTAGTATATTTTAATTGTGGTATAGTCTGTACCATATTTATATAATAAAAAATGTTGAATGAGTTTCCTTTCATTGAATACTAAACAAAAGAATATCTGAAATAGCTATTGATTCTTACTACATTCCTCAGGAACTAGCTAAAGAATTTCTAGCTAGGATATCTGAACAAAAAAACAAAAAAACAAAAACAAAACAAAAACAAAAACAAAAAAAGGAATTCTGAGCAAACCATATTACCATTTAATCATTTATCAATCCAAATGACCCATCCTTTTCAGTGTACAATCTTATCAGCATTTACTTTCCATCAAGCACAATACTTGAGGGCCTATAAAGTAATTGTGAACAAAGGCAAACCCATGTTGTAGATAATAATATGAAAGCATAAAAAATAGTATCCTACAGTATAATGGTTGTTTACTGTGAACTATTCAGTAGGCTAGGTATCTTCATCATTATCACTAATCCTCTCCACAACCCTGAAAAGTGGATTTCAGTCCCATTTTACAGAAAGGAAAACCAAGGGTTAGAGCCTTGACTGTCGCTAATTTGGAGTGCCTAACCAGAGTTTGACTTCAGTTCTCTCATATTCCAATGTTTGAGCTCTTTGCACTCCATGTACTGCATCCCAGAAGATGTGAAGATTATGAACTTCTAGAATAAAATAAAAAAGCCAAGGAAATCATACATCTAATTTGATATAAAAATGAGGGTTGGGGACTTTATTTAGATCTATAACATCAAAATTATTTATTGTTAATAGAAAACAATAATAATGTCCAATATTACTATCAATATATCAGTATACAAAGTTATCTTTATAACATTTCTGTGAAGCAGATATTATTACTTTCTTGTATGAATAGATGTTGACATTCATAGAGAAAAATAGTTTTCTCACATAACCAACCTTGGACCCACTCTCTGACCCCATTGTTTATTACTAAGGGGTGTGTGTGTTTATTTTTCTTCATTATGCCACCACATTCTGCTTTGCATGATACTTTGCTTGGATTTTAGTGGGAAAAGGGATAAAGAAACAGATAAAGACATGGAATAATCACCGTCTTTGGCTCTTCTTCCTTCCATTATCTAAAATGTTTTCTGCTGAGCAAGGATTTTTTAAACAGGGTGTCTTCTGAAAAGTCATTCCAATAAAGTATGGATTCAATAAAGCAAGTCTTCCCACAGAGCATGGTTGGGCAAGTATTAGAGTGATTTTCTAAAGGTCTTTGTTCATGCTTGGTTTTCAGTGTGTTCTTTTTCTCCTCCTTAACACCTGTTTTCAAACGAGCAGTGAGAAATCACTTTAAGGGCTAGAATACCTCTGGGGTATTTAACAGGTGCTGGAACTCATGTCTAGGTCACCAGTTCAGACCCAAAGATATACGGTTCTCTCTTCTTCTAACCTATAACTTCAAGCAGTAAGACCAGACCAATATCTTTAAACTGGTGTACTGTGCCATAAAACCATTCCTTCCCTACTTTGATTTAGAGGTGTTGGTGAGGAATCAACTAGGATTGTTACCACCATGAACTAAAAGGGCAGTAAGCATCATTCACTCTAATGGCACATGGTGTGGCTCTTATGCCATTAGAAGCAGCACAGTGGATATAAGCAACCAGGTGTGGTGAGACAGAGCATATTCCATTAAAAATTATTTTTTTTAGTATGGGAAAGGGGGAATTAGGGTGAACAGCTGAAAGAGCAGCAAGGAGTAGTGGACAAGGAAGAAAGGTAATAATGATCCATGTTTAGATTAAATTGGAAACATCAGAAAGAATGATCAACTGAGCCAATAACTACACATGGGAATAAAAAAGAGTCAAATGCCAGATATATCACCTTCAAAAACTAGAGAAGCCTGGACAATAGAAGTGAAGGTCAAAGCAGAAGGCAGTTCAGCACTTCATTACTCTTAATTATCTTTTTGATGATCTTTAAATGTTAAAAACATTGTGTTCCGGTATTGTTAAGGAACTATGCCTACATAAGGAAGACACAATAATATTTATACATAATATCCTGGTTCCTGGAGTGGGCCAAAGGTGTCAAGGTGTCCTTCTCAGGCTAGCACTTGCAAAAGCTTCTTTCTGTTTAGCTGGGCCCTACTTTACATATTTTTCATTTGATTCATTCTTGATGTCTGTTTATTATTGTGAAATGCCCTATTAGCAAGAATAAACACTTTTATTTTCACTGTTCTCTTAGGCAAATATTTACTAATTTAATCTTCACAACAATCCTCTGAGATAGGATCTGTTATTATCCCCAGCTTACAAATGAGGAAACTGGCACAGAGAGCTTCAGCAGCTTCCCATGTCCAGGCAGATGGTTAGTTAGTGAAGGTAGGCTTCACACTCAGGCAGTGTTCTCCAAGGCCTTGCTCTTAACCACTGTACAATAATGTTTACTGGTTAACTTCAATGTTTAACTTCAGTCGAAAATCCAAAATATGTTTCCAAATATTTAGTGAGTCCATAACTGACCTGAAAAAGAACTTGTTTTTTATTAAGAAACTAAAGTATAGAATAGGGAATATAACAAATAATATTGTAATAACTATGCATCGTGTCAGGTGGTTACTAGATTTATTGGGATGATCACTTTTATAAAGTATATAAATGTCTAATAACTATGCTGTACACCTGAAACTAGTATAATATTGTATGTCAGCTGTACTTAAATTTTAAGTTTCCAAAATAATAAAAATTGTGTTTAAATCATACTAATTTTTTAAAACTAATCTATTTAACACCTAATCTATTTAGGTATGCAAGTTATATTTTTCAGAAATAAAGTGATATTATTTTATAGACATAATAATTATTATTATATAAACATGAACATTTCATGAGAAATCTAAAAATTATAATGTTTAAATGGTTTTGTTCTAAAAGCTAAGCTAAAGTTAATGGGGCACCTCTTTAGGTACATCTAGTTTAAAATAACAAGAGATTTCTATTTCCACCATCATTTCTGGGCAATGTAAATGTTGTTTGTATTAATGAAAATGCTAGTTCTGTTGGTGGCATTTTAAACAAGGAAGCAGCCTCTTTGGAGCTGAACGTAAACATAATTGGAAAAGGTGATGATGAACTAAACTATATTTACACAGGCATTTGAAATAATGGCTTATGAATCCTTTAGAATATTTTCCCCATTTAAAACAATTCATACATGGTACCCTATTGGTTTATTTCTTGGCATCTTATTCATGCTATACATTTTCCTGCTGGATAGGAAATCTAGTCCACATCATCACCATTTTAAAAATTAAGCTTATCTTTCTTGCTGTGTACTTATATAAAGTAAAATCTAAGAATTCCTCTATTTGTTTCATTATTTTTTGAAACCAGTATTTTGACCAGTGGCAAGTAGAATACAAACTACTGAACTTTATGTCATAGTAGGGGAGGATGTCCCTAGGAGTGTGTGTGTGTGTGTGTGTGTGTGTGTGTGTGTGTGTGTTTCATATGCCCAAACAGAGACTATTTCACTGATGACAAAAGTTGTTAGCACCAGCCTGAGACTTTCTTCTTGATATAATTAGGAGCCTTCGAAAACCTGAAAAAAAAGTGGGTTTTCTCACTTGGCATTCAGTATCTATATGCCTCCTACCATTACCCTGTACACACAAATGCACAAATCCCTCAACCTGGGAAACACTGGGCTGAATGTTGTCCAAGGCCCCTGCCAGTTGTAAGAGTTTGTCATATTGCAAGTCAGTAAATTTAGTTTACAGACACACACACACAAAAAGACACAAACACGTCGTAGGAAGAGCTGATTCCTCTCCCTATTCCATGACTCTGGGTAACTTGTTCCGACACGGCAAGGTAATATGGAAGTGTGAATAAGAATGAGGATTCAGCCCGTCAACTTGATTTGGTTGTTGCAAAAGACCTGAATCTAACAATCAAATTGAAATCCCAAGCCTATTTTTGGCAGAGCTGAACAGCAAATGCTGGGATCAGTTTAACAAAGTAGAGAATTGATGCAATTTTGGTAAAAATGCCAAACTTACTCAAGCATCTTTAACTTGTTCTAAGTGTCTAGTGACCATTTACATGGTAGAAGTGAATGTTTTAAAAACTGAAATGAATAACTATTTCCATTGATAATTTTGTTTTCATTTGTTTTTTGTTGTGTTTTTTTTTTTTGTTATAAGCTTGTACTATTATACACAGAGTAAAACTTAAGTTCAAAACCTTTGCTTCTTTCTTCATTAAGTGCTTCTAGAGTTGCACAAATGACCAAAGCTTATCATCTTTTTGTTATCCAGCATGAAGTAAAATGAATAATTAAAGCTGACTCACACAGAGTGCAGCAATGGAAAATTAGTGCAAAAATTCATAGTTAATTTTTGTCTTCTATTGTAAACATAAATACCATAATGGTAACTAAGTTATCAATATTTTTAAAAAATATATTTTGTATTGATTTCAGAGAGAGGGAGGGAGAAGATCAGAGAGGAAGAAACTTTAATGATGAGAGAGAATCATTGATTGGCTGCCTCCTGCATGCCCCTTACTGGGGATCGGGCCTGCAACCCATGTGCCTTGACCAGGAATCAAACCATGACCTCCTGGTTCATGGGTCAACACTCAAACATTGAGCCACACCAGCTAGGTGAGATATCAATATTTTTTTAATCTATTTTACTTGACAGGAGCACCAACGAGCTCCATCTATCTGTCTGAAATGTAGACGTAGCATTTTTCATAGAGTTAAAGCTGGTGCTGGTCATTTCAGACACTAAGTTCTGAATGGGAGATAGGTGGCTCACCTTTACCAAAACCAGACTACAAAAATCACCGCAGCACTTTCCACTGTGGGATAGAAATTTCAGTTATGGCAGGCTTCTGCTGCTCCTTTTTGTTTTCACCTACTTAATTCACATTTCAATTTGCTTAGAAAGCAAGGAACACACACCAGGCCCTTAAGTTGCAAGGCAAATTACAATATTCACAATATCTGCAAAACCATACTCTAGATTGGAATCTTGAAACTCAGTGGCTTGATGTTTTGGAGAGCAAGGGCCTGGGAACCAGGAGACCTGGGTTTCAGGTTCAGGGTCACCATTAAGTGGGTAACATTGAATAATTCTATTGTCTTTACTGTCTCCTTCTTTAAAAGAAAGGGTAAGGAGGAATCTATTGTATATAGCCATTTCTTGCTTTAACATCTTATGATTCTAATTTCCATAATGTTACAGGGATATCTAGCATTAAAAATAATGTTCAATAATCTTAAACTTTAGAGTAGCAACCCAGTCTTAGAGGTTTAAAAATATAGGCAGCATAAACTCTCATTAACAAGTCATATACTTTATTAAGGAATTAATAATAGACCCATGATTAGACAGATATGTATTTTCGATTTGCTAGTTAGCTCAATGATTCTGCTATAAGTTGACTCTCAGAAAGTAAAAGAATGATAGATGTGAACCTAACCATTAGGTAGCTGATCTTAGTACACACCTGCATTATATTTTATTGATTGCATTTCATTTTCATTGTAGTGTGATTAAAATTCCAATGAGATAAATACCTTCCTTTATGTGAGACCCCAGAGAACAGCAGCTTTGAAAAATATATCACAAAAATAAACTGACAATTACCCAACAATTATGCATAAAAATGTCTATGAG